GTGGCCCGTAGCATTAGTTTAGTAAGACTGCGGTGTGGCCCGTAGCATTAGTTTAGTAAGACTGCGGTGTGGCCCGTAGCAATCGTATGTGAGGATAGTTAGACTGCGGTGTGGCCCGTAGCATTAGTTTAGTAAGACTGCGGTGTGGCCCGTAGCAATCGTATGTGAGTATATTTAGGCTGCGGTGTGGCCTGTAGCACTGGGTTAGCAAGACTGCGGGGTGGCCCGTAGCTTTAGTTGGCTGGCAGCGCAGAAGTGTTGTAAGAGTATGTGGGTGGTCGTAGCATTCACTAGTTGATAGAGTGAGTATAGTAAGACTGCAGGGTGGCCCGTAGCATTCGCCGGTCCCTATTCGCTAGTGCGAATGTATCAGGTGTGTGATTCAGGGGCAGGGTTTTTTAGATAGTTAAGTTCAGGACGGGGCAGCCGCCCGGATGTGAGTGGGCCACATTATGGTTGGGTCCGGAAGGCGGTAGGTCATTAGAGACCAAGAGTGGCGTAAGACTGAGGGTAAGCCGTGGCATTCATTAGTAGCTTAGTTCGCGGAGTGTGGGCGGGGGCCCGTATCTCCGAGGTAGCATGGGGGAAACCAGTATTCCGGGTAATGGTAGATCAGTTGGGACCAGGGCGGTCTCGGATCATCCGGTAGGCGGATGGGAGTCAACATGACTACAGGCAGGAATGATGGTAAGGGTTTCGGTGTGAAAAACCGTGAGCTGATCGTATGATGCTAAGCTGCTCATCGCGGGATCGAATGATCTCAGAGTAAAGGATTTGGCTCTGCGACGCCGTTCTCGTCTGAGCCTTAAACGTAGCAGAGAGGGATCTGCTACCCGAAGGATTGTCTGAATTCTCACGATTGGGTGGAGCTTTCAGTATTGGAGCATTGTATGGGGGTTATTCTGTGAGTATTGGTATGATGGCCGGCACTGGGAGTGGCCGGGATTGCGGGTTCAGCAGAGGATCGGTCCTCGAAGGAAATTGGGAAGGTTGTTGCTTGTGGAAAGTGCCTTAGAAAGGCCAGTGACAGTGTAGGGTAAAAGGGTAAACCCCTTGCGAATCAAGGGTAAGTGTATCAGGAGTATCGGTATGATTACCGGTTGGATAAAAGTGTTGTACTCGAGGGTAGTAAGTAACGAGTTATTCTGAAGATGACATCTTCAAGGTTTGGATCGGATGGGCGGAGTGTGTACCTAGTGGTAAAGTGGCGACCAGATGGTAAGGTAGTTGGTCGTGGCAGACTTCGAGGACGAAGTCTGGTTTAAGTGGGGGAGTGTTGTAACACCCAGAATCAGAAAGACCAAGAAAAGGAAGGAAAGGCTCTAAGTCAAGAGTCAACTCGTCGAGTCCAGGGAGGAACTCGACGAGTCGAAGCGGGATCCGGGGCATAGAGTAAGTGACCGACTCGGCGAGTCGGCTAGTGGACTCGGCGAGTCTGGTATGGGCGAGAAAAACCCTAATCCCGGGGGTTGTGCCCTATTTAAAGAACATTACATCCCTTCCCCAGCCTCTTTACTCCCCTTTTGAGATCCAGAAACCCTAAATCGTGAGTGAGAGCCCCTGGAAGCAATTTAGAGCCTAGATAAGTGATTTTGGTGGAAAGGGGCTTGAAGATCAAGATGCTTGCTGCAAAGGAGTGGTGTAGATCCGGGATCTACTTCAGTTGGAGCATATATTGGAGGTAATAAGCTGTTGCTTTGGCTTTATTGCAAATAGATCTATCTTATGTTTGAGATTTGGGGCATTTTGGGCATGATTGAGATCTATGTCGAGTTAGAGGCCTAGATCTGAGGTTGCTACCTCAGATCTAGACTTGTGATGGTCCAGAAGGTCATAAAGTATATGTCAATAAGTTATTGGTGAAGCCCCTTTGCCTTAAACCCTAGCCCTAGAGTGTTTTGGGCCTTTAGCTCCTTGGTTTCACGTAAAGTTTGCAACTTTACGTGGGGGATAGACTGTAGAAGAGTGGATCTATGGATTGGAGCCCCTGCATGGCTCGATAAGCCACTGTATGGATTGAGAACTGGAGAGACTCGGCGAGTCACATGGGTGTACTCAACGAGTTGTATGAATATGTGCATGGGCTCGACGAGTTGGAAGAACAACTCGGCGAGTCTGTTGAAGATTGCCTAGGACTCGGCGAGTCTGTTCTTGGACTCGACGAGTTAGGTCGCAGAACCCCCAACCTCTTCTGGTTAAGATGCAGATCAGTGAGTTGAGCGATGACTCAGTGAGTTGGACAGGATGGGACTCGGAGATCGTTGAACTCGACGAGTCCTGGGGTGACTCGGCGAGTTGGGTCGTATTTTGAGAGCTTCTGAGTTTAAGGACTCGGCGAGTCTTTGGGTTGACTCGGCGAGTCGATTCAACTGGAAGGTTGACTTTGACCAGGACTTTGACTTTAACCAGAGTTGACTTAGTTTGACTTCTAGAGTTCAGTTTGGAACTAAGTGTTTTATTGATATTAGTAGCTCGGGGAGCTAGCAGAGCAGCGGTTCAGAGAGTGGTCGGACAGCAGCCAGAGGGTTATCAGCAAAGTCAGCAGTGCGAGGTGAGTCTCCTCACTGTTTGTATGGGTCTACGGCCACAATACCGACCCATTTAGTTTATGTATGGTAGGAAGACCCGGGGGTTAGCCCTAGGCATTATGCATGAAAGACCAGGAGGAGGCTCCTGGCACACAGTATGTTATTATGTATGGTAGGAAGACCCGGGGGTTAGCCCTAGGCATTATGCATGAAAGACCAGGAGGAGGCTCCTGGCACACAGTATGTTATTATGTATGGTAGGAAGACCCGGGGGTTAGCCCTAGGCATTATGCATGAAAGACCAGGAGGAGGCTCCTGGCACAGAGTATGTTATTATGTATGGTAGGAAGACTCGGGGGTTAGCCCTAGGCATTATGCATGAAAGACCAGCAGGAGGCTCCTGGCACACAGTATGTTATTATGTATGGTAGGAAGACCCGGGGGTTAGCCCTAGGCTATATGCATGAAAGACCATGAGGAGGCTCCTGGCACACAGTATGTTATTATGTATGGTAGGAAGACTCGGGGGTTAGCCCTAGGCAACATGTATGAAAGACCAGGAGGTGGCTCCTGGCACAATGTATAATATTATGAATGAAATACCAGGAGGTGGCTCCTAGCACACTGTATGCTGAGTAGCCTAGTAGAGTAGTATGTATAGTTGTCTTTGTGATGCTTGCATGGAAGACCAGGGGGTGGCCCTTTGCACTTGTCTGTAAGACCCAGGGAGTGGCCCCAGGCTTGACAAGAAAGACCACGTGCGGCCCGTGGCAATACAGCAAGACTATGTTTGGCACATAGCACTTTACTTGATTATGGATATGTTTGTTATGTATGGCTCATGGTTACGTATGGTATGTATGGATCAGTTGGTTTGTATGGTATGTGGTATCTGGGGAACTCACTAAGTTTCGTGCTTACGGTTTTCAGTTTTGGTTTCAGGTATTCAGTTTTCAGAAGAGGAGCTCGGAAGGGTTGCAGTGCACACACCATGACAAGTTAGCCTGAGATGTTTACTCTGATAATTAAACAAGTGTTTTGGAAATGAAACTATGATTTGTCATATAAACCCTTTTAGTATGTTTGAATGACTTAATGCTATGAATCAGTAATGTTTTTAAAAGAAATTTTTGGACTCGAAATTTGGGATGTTACACCTGAGACCTAGGGTTTTGGGTTGTGGCGGACACCACACTCTGGTACATACTAGTACTGCAACATGGTCACCAAGTAGACCCGGACGTCATTTAACGACATGGTTGCGTCGCAGACACAAAACCATCGCATCGCGGTTGAAGGTTTTTCCCAAAACCTTATTCCTTAAAACACAAAATCCATAAGATGATCGATCCAGAAAATGGGTGTTACAATATGCACCTTTCCACACCTGTATACTTGAGATTGACTCACTACGCTAATGCTCACACTTGTTTCTTTGCTTGTTGTTTTCGCCTTACATCGGTACAAGTAACATTATTTGATGGCTTGGCGAGGATATGGACTTTTGGATAGTTATTTTTAGTATTACTTTAATGATGATACCACTTTGGACTTGTTATTGAGATTTCATTTACATTTGGTTTTAAGAACTTGCTTTGGTGTTGGTTTTATAAACTCTAATTTTGATGGGGTTATTTTTTTAAATAATTTTAAGTAACGTTGGTGATGTTTTCAAATAAAATTAAGACTTTCATTGCTCTATTCTGTTAAATAAGAAAAATTAAGGTGAAAAATCACGACATTACAGTGCACACCCACCTTAGCCCCTATCATTCATTGTTTTGGAATCAAATTTGTATATATAAATATGCATTTCGCACCTATTGACTTGCACTTGAGCAAAACTACATTATTATCGATAGAACTCGTGTAAACTCAAATCACCTAAAATGTTTAAGTACACTTAAGTCAGCAACGTAATCAACATAGAGCTTAATTGGCCCTAAACATTTTGAGCTTGGGTAATACAAATTAAAGTCTATAAATGTAACAAAAAATAATGTAAAAATATCATTTATTTCACACCAATGGAAAACGTTGTTGCAATTAATTAAAGATCATACAAACAAACGAAATTACAATTAGAAAGATTCTTCGACACAAATTATACATGGACCAATATATGTAATTAAAAACAAGATAATGGGTTTATAATGATCAAGTAAATAAATAAAAGGGCCGGGTTGGAGGGTTACATTCATTTGGGGATTTTTGTTTTTTCTCTCATTAGTTTACATTTATTCGAATGTTTTTTTCTGCAATCAACCAAATTAAATATTATTAAAATATATTCAAATTCATTGCTTATGAATTTCACCAACCATCCGTTAATTAACAATTATAGAAAAAAACAAATGATCAACCACTTCCTCATAAATTAAATCAGTATGTATGTTATTACTTATCCTTATATGATTTAGAACCAAGCTATAATTATGCATAACAAAATCCATATAAAGAAAAATGTATAATATTGAAAGGTCTTATAAATTATGGACTAGTGTCATGTGAGTGAAGAAACATGAACTACTTACAAAATGAAGAAAGCTTCTCCTTCAAATCTACTTCTTCTTCCAAAGCCGGGCTTTTTTCCGATGACGAAGAAGGCGGTGTTTTTGAATTATCTCTGCCACCACAACCATCCTTGATCACTAAAACCAATGACGATATTCATGAAAAAGAAGAGGAATTCGAATTTTGCTCCTCACTGAATTCATCTTCTACCCTTGTCAACTTTCCCGTTTCCACTTTCCACCATCCCAAGCCAGCCACAATCACCTCCTCCACTACTGCAGACATCCATATTGAAAATCATTATCATTTCAAATATCATAAAAAGATTAATAGTTTATTTAGTATAAATCATGGATGCATGATTCGAAGCCCACGATGTCATCAAGGCCAAGAAGTAACACGGTTGCGGATATTTGATAAAACTCAACGGTAAAACATATTTTCCTTTATATTTAAAATATATCATTCGATTCATTTTTCTTAATTTTAAAGAAAAGACTTGCCTGGTTTTCCATGCACTACTTACATGCATAATCAAAAAGCTGTTTTGTTTTAATTTTTAAAGCAATTCAACAAGGTTTAGTGGCATAAGGAAAATCATGGTGAAACTAACATCCATCAAGACCATTTTACGAGATACAAAATCCCGATCACTTCAGCAGTCACCGACAGACAAAGTCAACAAGAAGATTCCCATGGACAGCAAACCAAATAAATTAGACATTCAAAGAGACTCTAGCCATATGGTCAACAAAAATAACAAGAACCGAAACAAGCAAGAGGAGAAATTATCAAAAAGTGGTTTTAATAAGATGTTTGGTGGGTTTATGAAGAATATAGGCATACGTCGAAGGTCGAAACACGTGGGTAGTAAAAGTTGTCCAGTCTCAATCAAATCTTCACCAATGCATGATAATGATGTTCGGAATACTTGTGATGAACGAAGGAGTTCGTTTTACTCGAAAGATCATTCCATTCAGGGAGCTATTGCTCACTGCAAAAAATCTTTCGGAAAATGAACATATGCTTTTATTATTGCATGCATTTTTATTCCTATATGAATTTCTCCCTCCTTTGTATTAAGTTTTTCCAAAAGTCGTAAGGATTCGATTTCCAATCCAATCTATGGCTATTGTTAATCCAACTGTACGGTTGTAAGGTTATCCCCTCCAATCTAGTTTTTTCTGTAAATTTCCAAAAATAAGTTTTGGATCACAAACAATGGCCTATAGTTTGATGGTTATCATCCTTTTTGACATAACACAAGAAATCAAACATGGTTAACAACCAGATATCAAAACCATCCACCATCTTCCCGTCCCACCATCTATCATCGATCCTAAGATATCAGTAACAGGTGGGGGGGGGGGGGGGGGGTGGGGTGGTGATAGGTGGTGGAAGATGATTCCACCCCGAAAAATGGTGGTTGTAACGCAGCAGAGCCACGGAAAGTTATGGTCGTAGCAGATCCAACCCGTGAATCAGCAGCTGCTCTCCGCTATGTTCTATCTCATGTAGTATTCGAGAATGACACATTGTATCTTCTTCACGTTGAGAATCCAACCTTTTGGAAGAATAGAATTCCAGGTTTTATGAACCAATCATCACCATCTTCAACAACCCCTTCCTGTAATGAAGGCATAAATGGCCATTGGGGTGGTGGTGGTTGCATCGGAGGAAATGTTGACTTTCTTGATCAAATGAAGGATGCATGTGAAAGCACGCACCCAAAGATGAAGGTGAAGGTGATAAAGGTTGAAATGGGTGCTATGGAAAAAGCTAACGTGATTTTATCACAGACGAATGTGCATGGAATTGATCTTCTTGTTGTAGGAAAGCGTCAGAGCCTATCTACCGCAATACTATGGTGAGTTCTTTATTCCATAATCTGTCGTTAAAAAGGTGAAGATATATCTAGATATATATATCGTGATAATCCTTATATATATGAATCAAGAATGATCATAATATTGATTTCAAAAAAAAAAAAAAAAAAAAAAAAAAAAAAAAAAAAACAACGTTTAATTTCGACCTAAAAGTCAAATTGCTCATCTCTCATGGTGAAATATTTGGTTACAGGCAAGGGAGGAATGGGACAATAAGAGGAGAATTAGCAGAGTATTTGGTAGAGAACTGCAAATGCACCTGCGTTGCAGTGCAGAAAAAGGGTCTAACAGGAGGCTACCTTCTCCATACCAAAACCCATAGAAATTATTGGCTCTTAGCATAAAGGGCCAAGAACTTTGTGATTTGATCACTTGTCTCTTATTAGTTCTCCCTCCATTTCATAAACCAAAGTACATAGAATCTAACTTTTGAGGACACACTCGGCTCTTCAAAATCCAAAACTGACACGAATTGTTTAAGCTTCACCATATATATACATGAAAACATCAATTCGAAAGAAGGAAATGTTATGTTTTACTTGTAATTTCAAAAGTTCAACAAACATACAAGGAGAAAGAACATTGGCCAAATGGTTAAGAACTATAAGAGCAAATCTCACACCATAATCATTTTGAATCCAAGGTCCGTGATTAGATGAGTTTTGTGGCGATTTTTATCATTTAGCGTAAACTATACTTGTTAGATTTTGGGGTCTTAAGAATATCAATATATTTGGATATTTCTTGGATTGTGATTGCAATCATTTTCCAAAATCTGTGATTTCGACCCTATAGCATGGGGTATCACGAAATAAGATTTGGAATAATCCAAAGAATTTCAATTTAAAAGTCATGCCACTTCTAAATTAGAAACAGAGAAAAGTATCTTGATGTTTTGTGTTCTTGAAAGATAGAACAAATCAATATATGATTTTCATATATGTAAGTTCCAACCCTTTTTTTGGAACCAGAAAAAATTCTTATGTTAGAGGGAAAAGTAGTTAAACGGAAGTTGCCTCCTTTTGGCACCAAAAATCGTTGGTTATTAAGACAACCAACTCATGACATCATCATGATATAACTAAAGGTTTTGGCGGGAAAATGCATGGCAGGAGTCATGATATAATCATGATATCGTCGTCAAGGGCTCTGCCCATTGGACCCCGCTAAGGGCGCTGCCCCCTAGACCCTGCCAGGGGCGCAACCCTTGGAACCCTACACCCAGGGGCGTTGCCTCCGAAACCCCGTATTCTCGAGTTCACATTTATCACTCTGAATATGCACCTTACATTTCCTATCTCGGTTAGTAAATGAAGTTCAACCTATCTTATTATTAATAATAATTACACCAAAAATATTTATTACACTAAAATCACCAACAATACTTGCGAATTTAATTCAGTAGCTAACTTAATTTAATGTTGTTTATACTATGTTTACACTCAAAATTTTAGTTGATAAATTTATATTTTTTTTTTACATTAAAAAACAAAATATATTTTATCTACATTAATTCTTATTATTTTATTACAATATTTGTTTATTTAAAAGTAAAAGTGAACAATCACCTCTACAATCATTTGTAATAATATAAAATATGCGTGTGACCATTTTGTTTATTGAGAAATTCTTAGATGGGCTAATGTCATAAAAACCCTCAAGTTTTCAGGGTTTTGTCGGTTTTGCCCAAAGTTGAATTTTATGTCCATTTTTATCCTAACATTTTCCAAAAAATGTTCGGTTTTACCCTTTTACCGGTGATAACAGGTTACCATTATATTAACTTTGCAAAAAAACCCTTAAGTTTATAGTTTTTTTACGTTTTTAACCTTAAGTTATAAATTTTTAACACTTTTACCCTATGTATTTTTTTTTCATATTATACGTATTCAAGCAGAAAAATCATATTTATAAATGAAAAAAATTTAATTAAATATTGTATTTACGTTTTTTAATGTTAATTCTTTATATATATATATATATATATATATATATATATATATATGTGTGGGTGGTGTGTGTGTGGGTGTGTGTGTGTATGGATTTTTTTTTCTTGGATAAACCATTTAAGATGTAAAAAAAACAAATTAATATGTTTTTAGAACTACAAATATTTATTTTTATGTATTTAAAAATATACATATCAATAAAAAAAACTTGTTCATTCATAAACATGTTTATATAAGTATATACATACATATTTTTAGAAGTGTAAATATGTATTTTGATATATTTTTTTAAGTATAAATATATTTTTAGAAGTAAGATACATATTAATCTATAACCTGTAAAAATATGTATTTATACTTCTAAAACTCTATCTCATAAAACACATATTCATAATTCTAAATATATTATTTTTCTCTTTTTTAATGGTATAACCCATGGCAAAAACCCAACACCCACACAACCATATATAGATATATTATATATATCATATATATATATATATATAACATTAAAAAAATATAAATACAATATTTAATTAACTATTTTTCGTATATAAATACGATTTTTCTGCATAAATATGTATATTATGAAAAAAATATACTTAGGGTAAAAGTGTAAAAAAAATTATAAACTTAAGGGTAAAAACGCAAAAAAAAATGGTAAACTTAAAGGTTTTTTTGCGAATTTAATATAATGGTAACCTGAAAAACCTGTTATCACCGGTAAAAGAATAAAATCGAACATTTTTTCGAAAATGTTTGGGTAAAAACGGACATAAATTTCAACTTTTGGCAAAACCGACAAAACCTTGTAAACTTGAGGGTTTTTATAACATTAACCCTTCTTAGATAATGTAAGGTCTAGGCAGGAGCTTGGTCTTGGAACTGGACCGAATACAAAGTCGGAATATTGTCCAAACCGACAACTAAATCGAAATGTTTATATATGGTACTAATTCGGCTTGGGTTTTTGGTCCAAAAATGAATTATGACCGAATTGAAGGCTTTTATTTTATATTATTTATCATTTTTCGGATTTGTTATTAGTGTAATGTAGGAAAAAAGAATAGCAGAAATTGTGCACTAAAAATCATACCATAATGGGCATTAGAGAAATATTTTTTACAACATTATGAAATACTATAGGTTTCCAAACATAAACATGTATAATGTTAGATATAAAATCAATAATATTTATGTCGTGATGTAACTAAAATGAATCATTTAGAACAATATATTAATATTTATAAAATATATTATCTAATAAAGTCTTTTAAAAGAACAATTTTGTATCTAGAGACTAGAATTACTCAAGGTTTGTGTTATTGGCCTTTTTAAGGTGTATCAGATTCAGATCCGTAGACCATAGTTAAGAATCAAATGGCCCATTATAAACATGCCAGCTAAGATATATATATATATAAGATATATATATATATATATATATATATATATTATAATATATATATATATATATATATATGGGAAAAGAGAATATACATTTACACGCCCCACCTAACGTTAGTACTAAACCCTAAACCTCTTGAAAATAACATTGTTTTACTATATAAAGATTACGGTTAATGGATTCATAGTTAATACTTCAAGATGTAAATTCAAGATCGACACAATAGGGTTTAGGGTTTAGGGTTTAGGTTTAGGGTTTAGGGTTTATGGTTTAGATTTAGGGTTTACGGTTTAGGTTTAGGGTTTAGGGTTAGCGTTTAGGGTTTAGGGTTTAGGGTTTAGGGTTTAGGTTTAGGGTTTAGGGTTTAAATTTAGGGTTTAGGGTTAAGGTTTAGGGTTTAGTAATGTTCACTTGGGTGAAGTAATAAACGATAATTGAGGAAAGAAAACAGAGATGGTAAAACGATAATGAAAGAAAGAAATGTTATGGAGGATGATTATTTACCAAGTGAACCAACTTTTAGCATGTTAAAACGACATATTTTAGAGGTTTAGTACATAAGCTTAGGTGGGGCTGTAATGTATATTCCTTATCCTTATCCCCGATATATATATATAGATATATCTATAATATATATATATATATATATATAGAAAAGTTCAATAGATAACCATTATTAATCAAGGAACCAAGAAACCAATCCAAAGCATCGGAATTTAAAACGATCAACGGCAAAAGGAATGGTTGTAAACTTTTATAATGGACGCACATGTACCGGATTATAACAAAACTCACTTCCTTTTTTTCATTTAAATTTTTTTTAGGCCAAGTTTTTTATTGAAAAAAAAACCGAATATACCGTTGTTCACGATTTTTCGTCCTCTTTCCATAGAGATCCATGATGATATATTAAAAACGAAATTTTTTTTTTCGAAAAAAACTCACTTATTTTTCTTAGTTTTTTCAATATTTAAGTTTATTTTTATCAAAAAAAACTAATTATACCAAAATATTAATTTTTATACTCTATTAATAAACATCAACACCGATTAAAAAAAAAAAAAAAAACTGGAACAGTGTAGATTCACACTGTGAATCTAAACTGTAAATATTTAAATTTTTAACATTCACAATATGAAAAATCTCGAACAATTAAGATTCACATTGTGAATCTGAATTACTATTATGCACACTGTGAATCTGAGAAGGTTCACAAAAAAAAAAAAAAAAAAAAAAAAAAAAAAAAAAAAAACTCGATCAGTGTAGATTCACACTGTGAATCTAAAGTGTAAATATTTCAAATTTTAACATTCACAATGTGAAAAAGCTCCGATCAGTTCAGATTCACACTATGAATCTGACTTATTGAGGAGGTTCATAATATGAATCTAAACAGGTTCACAATATGAATCTCAACAGATTCACAATGTGAATCTGAACTGAAATATCGTTTTTTTTTTATAACATGATTATGAATCTATGTTTAAAAAGTACAAAAAATATGAATTTTGATATATTTATTAATTTTTTTCTATAAAAAATAGACCTTAACTTTTTCATCAAAGAAAAGAAGTGGGTTTTTTTTTCGGAAAAAAAAAAGTTTGTTTTTTATATATCATCATGGATCTCTATGGAAAGATGACGTAAAATCGTGAACAACGGTATATTCGGTTTTTTTTTTATAAAAAAACATGGCCTAAAAAAAATTTAAACAAAAAAAAGTGGTGGGTTTTTTTGTAAAGGGTGGATTTTTTGGTATAATCCGGTGTGTGCGTCCAATGTAAAAGTGTACATCTATTTCCTTGGCCGTTGATCGTTATGATTTCCGACGCTCACGATTGGTTCCTTGGTTAATTATGGTTCTCTATTGACCTCACCCTATATATATATATATATATATATATATATATATATATATATATATATATATACTAGTGGGGTACCCACGCGATGCAGTGGGCGGCTAATGCAGGGACAATGAATAGTTTATTCTGCCATAGGATTTCTTTTCGGCGATTAATTTTCATTTTGTAGGGCTTGAATAGTTTTTTAAGTGTCAAGTATATTCCTTTCGAATCTCAAAATGCTTTCCTGGACTCAAAGTACATAACCAAATATTAGAAACCTGAATATTAAGGGTTTGGGGTTCTTGATTTTAGTTAGGTATTCATAAATGTCGATGGTGACATGATTTTTCTGTGGGAACAATTATGAAGTTCATTTTGCAATTGTCTAATGTTAAAACATAACATCCGAAGAGATGACAAAGAATGAATATTAAAAAAAAAAAAGTTAGTCATGTTGTAATAGGTTCAAATGAAAGTAGAATATTATGATTAGTTTCATGTTATATTTTAAAAAACATGCAATGCATTGGTAAATATCATTTTCCATTCAATTATAAAATCATATTATAAGTGCATATTTGTATTTTATGCAATGCGGTGATTGTATGTAGGACTTAAAAGTATGTGTTTTACCGAATGTCGTAGGTGTATCTAGAGGCCAAAATATTCTCGAAACTATATAATGAATGAAATGTACTTGTGTTTAGGTTAGTTGAATCGTTTTTTTTTAATCTACAAATGAAATAACATAAATATATTTCTATGAATCTATATCATTACTATTAGTTTATTATAATAATATAAGTTTTAGTGATATACAAAATTGTAGAATTAATTTGTAATATTATTAAGAAACTATGTTTTAAAAAAGACTTTATAGATAAATATTAAATTTTATCGTATATATTTATTCTTTAATATTTATTCTTTAAGTAGAAAAAGAATTAAAAATATATATGCCATTTAGTATGCATTTGAAGAAAAAATCGTTCTCAAGAAAAATTTGGATTTAATGGTTAGCACTGTAGGTTTTGTTTTAATAATTGAAACTTTATAAAAACTAACATATTAATGAAACTATTAAAAACTAACTAATTATAATAATATGAATATTTTATTAAAATAAATTTTGTTTGATACTAAACAATATATTGAACTATATTATTTGTTTTGCTTTTTTAAAATTTTTAAAAACATATGCAGATGAAAAATTAATAATTTCACTAATTAAGTATTTTCATTCGTTACCAAACTCACATTATTTGTTTCTAATGAAATTTTGATTTAAGACACAAATATATTATATATGTTTCTTCCTATGATATACTCCCTCCGTCCCAATATTATTGTCTACGGACAAAAAACACACATATTAAGAAAAACATTAATTACCACTAACTTTATTTAATAAAATGACAGTTTTGTCCTTACTTTGCATTTAATATTCCATTAAATGCTTAGTTGGTTAAGTAATAATGAGGATGTATTTTGGTAAAAATGTTATTTATTTTTAGAAGTAGACTATTATTTTGGAACAAACCAAAAAGAAAAGATGGACTATAATTTTAGGACGGAGGGAGTATATAATTACAAAAAGAATATTACAACTAAATGTTTAATTTTAAGCAGTTAATTAAATGTTTAAATTTAAGCTATTATTTGAATAATTTTTTTTTGAACGGCAGGCATGATATAAAATTGAAAGCTAGCCAGGGGTTAGAGAAACAAAAGGAAGAAATACAAAAGGAAAACAAAACAGAAACAGAACATGAAAACTGGAACAAAAGAAAACTACAACTTTCTATAGCATTCCAAAACCGGGTCAGAACACCAATCGTACCAACTTAAATTTTGACCTCTCCTCTTCCGAGCATTTATCCATAGATGAGACAGAGCTTGTACCTCAAATGCCAACACCGTGTGTGATTTTGCGTTAGGACCATGAGCCCTTAGCATTCCTATATCTCCAGATTACCCACATGAATACTAGCATTATAGCTTCATGAATCACCAGCAGCCTTTGATGACCACCAATCCTTAATTTACAGTCTAGCAAGTCTCGACATGAGCTATGAGAGCAATCCAATAGTCGCCACCATTTACACACTTGTAGCCATACTTCACTTGAGACCGGGCAACCCACAAAAATATGATCCACAGATTCTGGAGCCGCGTTACACATCTTACACAGGTTTGTAGAGCTGATACCAAATTTGAAAAGATTGTCCATGGATGGAAGTTTGCCCTTACCAGCTCTCCAAGCAAGAATGTTTATCTTCCCTGGTACGAGTGGGTTCCAGGTCCAGTTTCCATCACTATAGGGAAGGATAATATTGTCAATATGGGATCTCAACGATGAAACAGTGAACAACCCAGAAGGATCAAGTGACCAGGCCCATTTTTGTGAGCCATTCGCGTTTGACACATGTTGGAAATGGTTCAAAAAAGACACCTGATCTTTATCTAGTGATTTTGGGATATTGACAATTGTACCCCAGCAACCACTTCGCCTTTTTGCTGCCGTCGGCCTAGACAAGCCACCATCAGGACCGTGTATGGACTTAATCACTACCGCCCAATTGCTGTCAGGAAAATTCTTCAATCTCCACCACCATTTCCCCAACAATGCTATATTTTGCGCCTTTAAACTACCGATTCCGAGCCCGCCTCTATCTTTTGCTGCAAGAATTTTGTCCCAAGCTATCCATGCCATTTTCCTTGTTTCCATGGAGCCACCCCAAAAGAACTTCATACGGATCTGTTCAAGTGTTTTTATAACCTTCATGGGCGCCTTGTAAATCGAAAAATAGAAGGATCCTAGACTGCTCAACACTGCTTTGCATAGATTCAGACGCCCCCCAAAGGATAAAGTGGAAGCTTTCCATCTTGTGAACCTCATCTGAAATCTTTCAATGATTTGTCTCTAATGTGTTGTTCTTGCCATAGAGACGCCTACAGGGAGGCCTAAATAAGTAAAAGGTAGAGAGCCAATTGGACAACTGAAACTACGAGCCAACGTCTCCAGCTCACAATTATGGGTACCAAACCCGTACAGTTTACATTTGGACAAATTTATCTTTAAACCTGATGACAACTCGAAACATCTTAAAATTCTGATCAGGTTCTTTAAGTTCTCCGGTAACCACATACCCATGAATACTACATCGTCCGCATACTGCAAGTGAGAAATGACTGGACCGTGGCGGGGTAATTGTATGCCTTCGAAAATGCCATTCTCTTTTGCCGATTCCATTGCAATATGGAGGCCTTCTGCTGCAATGATAAATAGAAAAGGGGATAAGGGATCGCCCTGCCTTACCCCTCGCTCCATGCAAAATTCTGAAGTTGCTGAGCCATTGAGAAGCACCGACGCCCTAACTGACGATAAACATCCTTGAATCCATGTTCGCTGTTTAGACCCAAAGTGCATTAATTGCAGAATTGAGTCTAGATACCCCCAACTCAGACTATCAAAGGCCTTCTCGAAATCCACTTTAAAAGTGAAAGCTTTCCTTTTATTTTTCTTTATCCAGCTAATTATTTCGTTTAGGATGAGGGGCCCATCAAGAATGTGTCGATTCTTAATGAAAGCTGTCTGAGTCTCACTAACTACCAGATGTACCACCTTTTTTAATCTCTCAGCTAGAACCTTTGATATTGTTTTGTACAAGCATCCAATTAGACTTATGGGGCGAAAGTCATTAATTGTTATTGGATCTTGAACTTTTGGGATAAGGGTGATAAAGGATGAATTGCAGCCTTTATCAATATGCCCGGTAGCTTCAAAATGCTTCACTGCTAGATAGAAATCACCACCAATCACCTCCCAATGTTGTTTTAGAAAGGAAAACGAAAATCCATCAGGCCCTGTCCGAACCACATGCCCATATGGCCGCTTTAATTTCGTCCAACGAGAAAGGGTCCTCTAAATGCTTAGCCACCTGTGGGGGAAGCTTCTTAAACTTTGGGGTGATAAACTTAGGTCTTGATTTATTTGGCTCAGCAAATCTTCCAGCAAAATGTTTAAATACCACCTCTTTGATTGCAGCAGGGTCGCTTATCCAGAATCCATTATCCTTAATACCATTTATCCTCTGCATTCTTTGATGCTTATTTATCAGACCATGAAAAAAAGCACTATTTTCATCCCCCTCTATAGCCCATTTGGTTCGAGATTTTTGTTTTAAATCTTCAATGCGCCTGGCTTCGTTTTCCATGATTTTTTGGTAGGCATTTTGTCGATCTCTAAGAAGTTCTTCGCTGATCTGGCCCGTCTCAGCCAAGAGATCTATACCATTGATCTTGCTCGTAAGTTCAACCTGCTCTCTTCGAGATTTTTCTATAGTTTCTTTCCTCCATGATTTGATATGTTCTTTTAGATTCCTTAGCTTACCTGCAACAAGGGATAGAGGAGATATATGCAGGCGAGAGTTGGAAGACCTGCTAAATGACCACCCGTTTCTTAGAACCCCCTCAAAACATGGGTCTTTCAACCAAGAATTAAAAAACCTGAATGGGGATGGACCGAAATCAAGCTGATTGGAGGATAAGAGTATTGCACAGTGATCAGAGTGCACTCTTGGCAATGCTGTGACACTAAGGTTTGGCCATGAGTCGAAAACATTGGATGAGACAAGGTATCTGTCGAGTTTGCTATGTTTATCACCAGCTTTGCTCATGTAAGTAAATCTTCTACCCCCCATTTTAACTTCCAGCAGTCCACTAGAGTGTATAAAATTGTTGAAATAAATGCACTATTATGGCAGAATACAGAACCTAGTCTTTCTTCAGGCAGGCGAACAACATTGAAATCACCGAAAACGAACCAACAGGATTCACTATCTGAGTTTATGAGGTCGGACAACTTACTCCACAGAATCCTTTTCTTTGCTGGTTCTTGTGGAGCATAAACATTGACAAAGCAAACTTTTTTCCTAAGTCTAAGCCACATACCCCTGATGACAAGAAAACCTTCCCCTTTAATAGAATCGGTGACATTGAATAAGGAAGGGTCCCATATGGAAGCAATTCCACCAGATAGCCCTATAGGATCAATGACCTCACATTGGAAACTTGGTGAACCCCAAATTTGTCTATCAAGATTCCCTTTAACCTCTATGGATTTAGTTTCCTGCAGCCCAACAAAGAATGAACGATTTTGGATCCGAGAGTCTCTAAGCCAGCACCTTTTTATTTCGCACCCAATTCCACGAATATTATTGGAGAAGATATTCATTGATCTACAATTGTCACGCCTCGGGTTTTAATCATCTTCTTTAGTTGTTCCGCTTGATTTCCAACCTGGAATCCAACTGATTCTCCTACCGCAATTGTTTTGGCAACTTCCAAGGATGTAACATTCGAATCCACAGGCTGTGTTTGCGAGAAATTTTGCTGCAAGGCACAAGTACCCATGGACGGAAGCTCCTGCGATTGAGATGCGCCATTGGGGATATATATAGAGGGGATTTCGATATGAGGGAGGAGACGTTGCGAGAATTCTGAATCACAGGGGAGGATATTTTATTGTTTCCACTGGGCTTCTCTACAGTGAAGGATGCGTTTGAGTGGGAAGGGGCTTTATTTAGGTCCAGCGAAGCATTGGGCTGAGGGGATTTACTCAAAGAAGGAGATTGGGCCCTCCTTATAATATGGCCCAATGGAGATGCCCAACCCGGATGACCATGTGACGGTACCGCTTCTCTTCGACATTCCCCAGAGTTGGACGGAGGAAAAGACTCCTCGACAACTGAGTCCAAGATTTTGGCATGCGACGCTTCCCCTACCCCATCATGTTGTCGAGACCGGTGTGACTTCGCCGGAGAGGATTCCGGTGACCTAATGCCCTCTTCCGATTGGGCAGGAACTTCACTATTGAGACTTTCGTTTTCTCCAGTGCTACCTTCATCCCACCACGACATCTTCTGGTAAAAGTCATAGCTTTAGGGATTCAAAGATATCTTCCATGATAGTGATCTGATAGGGCATTCCATCCACCGTAATTGTAATTGAGGAGCTGATGATACCAGGGTAGGATGTGAGGATTCCCACCCTCCCAAAAGCCAAATTTGGAGAGTCTGTACTACATTCGTCTGGGATAACCACTGATCCCCAAGTATTCGCAATGATGCTAAAAGCTTCTTCACACCATGCGTGTTGGGGCACTCCCTGAATGATGAGAGAAGCGATTCGTTCATTGAAGTTGAATTCCGCTGACCATTCAGAGAGATTTTTGAACCATGGTTGCCATATTTCTTCCATTGTTTAAGAAATCTTCCTTATCTTTTATATTATCAAACTCTAAAAGCATTTTAAGGCCCCCCGGATATCTTAATTGAATCATTGGGCATCCTTCAACTTCCTGGAAAGCTTTTACATTCATAAGTGCTTGGAAGTTTTCTACTTCTCCCACCAAGGTGTTTTCCATGCATTCTATTGCTCCAGAATGAGATACCATCTTTATGATTTTTCTTGGTGTTTTTGACCCTTCAATCCCTGTGATCCTTTTCCCTGATCCATCATTGACAGTTGGTGATGTTCCCCTAACAGCATCGGTGAAAGACTTAGCTTGTTTAAACTGTTGCATTGATGGAATTTCTCATGTTACTGAGGGATTACTTCCTCGATTCTCATGCTTATTCCGGTCGAAGCGCGCTACGTTGACATCTATCTTCTGGGCCCAATGTAAATTCCATTGAGTCTTTTTTCAAAGGAGGGAATTTCCTGGACACGAATGAATCTGACAAATCCAAAATTTTTCTTCAGTCGGTTCATCTTCTTAGCGATGTAGACGTCCACAACAGTCTCATATCTGTTGAACATCCTCCATAGTGCCGCTTCGTTCCAATCAGCAGGGAAGTCCTGAAAATAGACTGTGACAGCTTTCCCGTTGATGTTGAAAATCTCTCCCGTACTTCTTCCTCCGATGAACTTGGCACCAGCCTTCGTTTTTCTCTCTCTCCATACGTTTTTCTCTGAATGAGTGTATTATGTTTTGACATCTTTTGTCAAGATTGTTTATCGTGACCTACCTTTAGTAGTCAATTTTCATCTGACATTTTTGTATAAGCTACTCTAAATGAGGTGATAGACTATGTTTTTCAAGATGTTGCAGACTAAAGTTATCATTAAAAAAATTATTTTAATAATCTCTCACTTCTCATTCATTTTATGATTTTATTAATAGACTAAAATCTTATAAAAATCTGTGTTAAATTTAATTTCCTTAAGTTTTTTATAGTTGTATCAAGTAAATAAATAACAACATCTATTTGACGTTTTAAATTTGATAATAATTCAGATACAAAATGCTTTCTCCTTTACCTATTTTTTTTAAACTATGAACCTTTGCTTTACAAATTACTAACCAGGTTAAGACATATCTATAGTATCTTCACATCAAATTCTAAAATAATAACATAAAAATATCTCAAATGTTTTTGACCAAATTTAAACATTTCGAACAAGCTTTTATATTTATAAAAACTTTTGTACATATTTATATATTTTGGTAAACATGATTCAAACAACTTAGTGTCTCTAAATATTTACATTTTCTTAATAGTGTTTATTATTAAATAGTGGTAAATATTCTAAAAAAATATATATTAATTGACATTACAACAAAGTTCATTCATGAGTTAAGAGCATTTTTAATTTTTAATCGTCATTCATTATTATTTTTTAAATTATTAGAAGTAAAATTTTAAATTACACTATAATTTGAATACAAAACTAATATTGTCCTCCGACTTTGACATCAAATGCATTTAACTCCAAATATTGAATAATATTACTTGAAACAAAAGATACAATACAACTCTCCAAGGTCTATAATATGGTCATTTTTGTAATATTATAATCAAATTTATAGAGGATTGGCATTATATACATTAGATAACCCATTTTTTTCTATTGGACCCTGAAAAACACAATATAATTGAGTGGTAGCATTGAAATCTAATCCACCACCTATTTTAACTTCAGGACGAAGTCACTTCATCTTTAACTTCCCCAAAGTCCTTGTAAGCCAACGTAAAACCTACACAAAATATGCCCAAAAGTGATAACCTTTTGCAAATATGCATCGTCAAAACGTGAAATGATTAAATGTTTTTAAAGAAGGTATGAAAATGAGACAGAATGATAAAAAAACACTAGAAAAACAAAAATGCCTTAACCATACCTAACAAATCACCGGATGTGCACCACGACGGATGTTGGTGCTTGAATGTTGAAGAAAGGGATAGCGTGTGTTTGCTTATACAACGACAAAGATCGAGGTACAGAGAGAGGGTCATGAAGGCGGCTTATAGTGCTAAAGCAGTGAGCGTTGTTTGATGGTGGTGGTGAAAACGATAGTGAAGTGGAGGGAGAGAGAGGTTGGTGGAGTGGTAGAGTTAGGTTCTTTGGGGTGTTAAAGTTCTTGTGACAACCTGGTGGTGGATGATGGAGGATATCGTGAAGGTTGCAGCAAATGGCGGAAGCAAGGATGGTGGGTGATACCTAGGGTTTCTAGAGATTCTAGAGAGAGGGTGAGAGGATAGGGTTTTAGAGAGAGAAAGAATATTATGAAAGGACTAATGTGCTGGGAGATTATATATCATATGTCTAAGCATATGTGGATAGCCGTGTATATCCGTGTATAGTTATGAAGTGTGTTAATTTGAGCCTAAAGAGTGGTATATTGTGCTTTTACAGTTGTTCATTTTTAACAACCGTTTCTCATTGGTGTAATTGTCTTCACATGGATTAGCATTCATTTAATCTAAACCACTTAAATTAAATTAAATCCAATGGTCCACAAGTAAGCTCCTTGTTTTTAAGATTTAGTCTTAAAAATTTGGTGGGTCCAATTTTATACATGCATTATAAGGTATATATATATATATATATATATATATATATATATATATATATATATATATATATATATATATATATATGAAAATACCCAAAGTGAAATACGAACTTTAGATTTAATAGTCTTTATTTTAATTTTATGTATTGTAATATGTTGTTTTAATTTCTTATATTCTAATATATTGTTGTCATTTAATGTTATTATCATGTACTTTTTTATTTTATAAATATTATACATGTTTAAACTTAACAAATTATATGACATAACTATAAATATATTTCAAAAAGATAGGGTTCCTAGTTAATTTAAAAAAAAATAACCATTTTAAAAATAGTCTTGGAGATGATTTAGGTTAATATCATTTTGTTTGATAAAGTTAGTGAAGATATGATGTGAAAACAAAAAGTTATACATTATGATGATCGGAGATCTTCTTGGTTGATGATACCTTATAGTATATAAATTGCCAAACATGATTATAATCTTTTATAACCATATACTTTGACATGTGAAAATATCTATATGAATGCTTGTCATCGTATTGATATGTTCAAATGTACATTAGCCTTATTACATAAAAAATAAACCATGAATCTGGACCACATAAAAAGTGATTGTGTGTTCAATCGGGGTTACTTTATGTTCTCCCTTGCTTTTAAAATTAAACTTACATTGTTAATTTTTAGGGATTTGATCAAGTTATGTCCATTTTCGTATATTCTACAACTCTTATCACTGCAAAGAAGATAACTAGCATTTCATCTCAACCAAGATTAATAACATTTTATTTATGAAGGGTGTTGGTGTACTAACCTTCTCATTTTGAAACTCCGGAAGCAATTTAGTTACCTCGACAATATTCAGCCTAGTCTAGCAATCTTAATACGACAACCGTTGGCTCAATCCAACTTTGTTAATTTTTAGCGATTTGATCAAGCTGTGTCCCTTTAGTGGTTTCTTGTGAATATAAGTTACTCCAGGAGATTAGGATGGTATATCTTAGTGTTTATAAGGTCCCTTGTGCATAAAAATGGTAGCTTTATGGGTTTAACACAACCATGCAAAGGTTGATGTTCATTTCTTAAAGTTACGGTGTGAAAATTGGGTTTTGAGGCATATTAAGCCATGCACAAGTTTAAAGCTTCCGAATTTATGGATTAAGACCTTGTTTTGGAGTAGATCCAAAGTTTGGACGAAAGGGACTTAATGGATTAAGCCATCCATATGGGGTTTGGGTTACAGGCCAGTATGTCGGGCGTACTTGTATGTACGTTGTGCGTATTGGGTTCGAACCATGTCTTCTGATTGGTGCACGTATGCGGGGCGTACGAGTTGGGTACGATCAGCGTACTCATAATTGTGGGCTAAAGGGTTTTTGGGCTATTTTGGGATTCAGGTACTTTTGGGCTTGGGCCATGGTTTTTGGGCCGATTAAAGAAAAGGGTAAAATGGCCCTTTTTCCCTAAGAGTCAGTAAAACATCCCCAAAATACGGTCCAAAATTTTCGTTTTAAAATCATTTAAGAAAACCATAATTCATCAATCATCATAATAAAATCACAAGTCATGTATTCTCAAAACATCATATCAAGATTCTGTATCAAAACCAAGTGTCAAAACAT